GGTGCCATACTACCCATATTCCTAAGTTTGCCGAGCAGGTCGAAGGCAATCAGCTACAGAAGCCATATGAGTGAGATATACGTGCCTACCGCTATGATAGGACTTTCATCTGGTCTCTTGCGAGCTTCAGACACCACTCAAAGGGCACCAAGGGTCTTCAATCCTAAGTGCCAAAGATCCTTAGGTAAATTTATGATAACTTAGATGAATTTAGGATAAACTTAGGATCTCCTTTAATGCTTCTATCTTCACCTAAAGCTGATCAAGCGAGTGTGCCGTCATCGCTACTACCATAGTTGCTTAACTGCAAGTAGCCCGTAATTGAATCTACCGAGCCTTCATTGCATCATCAACGTCTTGACACCAGATTAGCTTTCTACTCAAGATTACCCACCATAGCAACTCTACGGACCCTGGTCAGTATCCAGATACATCAGGCCACTCTGTCTCAAGACCCTCTTTGATGATCATATCCTGAAACTCTTGAAACAGCTCCTTCTTGCCCTGCACTTCATGCGGTGATAACTCCTTATCCAGGCAATGCGCTGCCAACAACCCCGCCGCCTCGCCAATGTTCCACTCAACAGGGTGTAGCCTGTAACATCCATTCGTAATATGCGTAGTCCCAATATTCTTTGACGCTGCGAGTAAGTTCGGTCTCTCAACTGGTATCAAAGCACCAAGTGGAATCTCGAATGGACAGCAGGCTACATCGATGTAGTTATCACCGCCGGTGGATGGATGGAGATCGATACGATACATTCCGACGCCGACACTATCGGGATAGTGTACTGCGCCTTTTGAACCGCGGACGTCGAGGGAGAGGTCTTGCTCCACGATTGTGGTTACGGCTTTAATGCGTCGAGATTCGCGAATGTAGGGGGCCATTGCTAGACCGTGTTCTGTCCCCGTAATATCACCTCTCAATCGAAGACCAGGATATCCTGTGCCTTTTCCATCGGCTCGAGGACAGTCTGTTTGAAGGTAGTGCAGCATACTGTACGACAAAGACGCGGCTTCGGCGAGACGCTTTTGCAGCTCATCCTCTGAGATGTCAATGATGGGTTTTTCGAAGTAGTCGATCATGGGCCAGTTGACAAGGCAGATATCTGAACGATATGCTCCGGGGATGAAGTTATCTTTGGCTAGAATGCGTCGAAATGTCCAGAGATTCATGTCTCCCCCTGATTTTCTCTGGTCTGAGATCACGGAAGCTGGATCATCGTTGGGGTTTGGTGTGAACTCCCGCTCGACTATCTCGAGAGTTCGGGGATGCGGCGCCTTGAGACCAAGCAACGGCGCACCCCAGAAATCGGGATGGCAGCTCCTCCAGTGTTCGTATCTCTCAGGTTTGGGAATTGTAAGGTCTTCGCCCTCGATGTGGTCCACGGCGAAACAAATCGATACAGCCTGAGAGTTCTGGGGCTGCGCTTCCTCCGGAGCACTAGGCTCTCCTGTATCCTTTCGAGACTCAAACCCCGTCACATACGGCGTTTTGGTGATGGGTAGCAAATCTCCCAGCTCAGTAGCATCAACGACGTACTTTGCTTCGACAGTGAAAGTCCCTCCACCATCCAGCTTTCGAAACTCGACGGACCTCACAACCTGTCCAACCATGTCACAAGAAACAGCCTTGACACGTTTTCTAACTGTGAGAAGTCCACTGCCGATAAACGGCATAAGCATGGCTTCGATAACAGCCACTGCAACTCTCGGCTCATGACAAAGCTTGCTGACATGTCCCGCCCCAGGATTCAACTGCGCCCTTCGTCTTGCCTCCTCCGTTAACGGATAATGATCGCGATAATATTGCCTTATGCCATCACGAAGTGCTCGATACGACCGCGTGACACCGAATTGCTCAACCCAGGTATGCTCATCAGGAGGCACAGCTTGGCTTGTCAATTGGCCGCCTAGCCAGTCATATTCTTCAGTGAGAAAGACATGATGGCCTCGACGGAGAGCTCCAAGTGCTGCTGCGACACCACCCAAGCCACCGCCTGCGATGAGAATATCTGTTGAAAAGTGCTTTGGTCGAGTTTTCAGATGAGCTGTTTGCCACGAGATGCTGCTTTTGACATGGCCATTTGGAGGTTCAGAGAGTTCGCCCATCTTTGGTGGCTGGTAAGTTGGCCAACAATCAACTCAACAAATGACGGACTGAGACTTGCAAAAGTAAATATCGAGCAAACATGGGAATCGACTTGTTTTAATTCGTCTCACAGAATCCTTCTTCCGCCGATCTCCCCAGATCTGCGTTTCACTTCCCCGTACCCGAGACTCCCCGTGAGGGGTTGCACAGCACGTGCATATCTCATTCTCATGACCGACACCGCCAAGACATTCCCCCCTCAACTCGTCGGGAAGCAATCTCACATCTCCCCGATCCTTACACTCTCAAACGCTACCTCACAATGTCGGAGGACAATGCACGCAAGCGACCGCGTCAACCCACGTCCGATCCGCGATATCCCAGGAAGAGGAGTCTCAAAGCGTGTCATGTATGCAGGGCGCGTAAGACAAAGTGCGATAATGTGCAGCCGACATGTGGGTTCTGTGCGTCGTTGAATATCTCGTGTTCCTATGATAATACTGAGAAAGACCATTCTACGTGAGTTTATCACTGTTTGGAAGATATGTTCTGATGGATGGAGTAGATTTGACCCTGCGAGTCTTGAGATTTTGAGACAGCTGGGACAGATCATTACTTCTCAGGATGAATTGACGCAGACTGTGCGATCAATTGCTGCAGCTCAGTCGCACGCCGGTCTCAGTGCAGCCCAGGATGTTCATGTCGCCGAGGGTTTGAGCTGGGATGCGAATCTTCAGGCACAACAGCTACCCTACTACGACTGGTCTGGAAGACAATCAGACTCCAACTCGACAACCCCAGCAGCATCAGCCAGTGTCGCTGCAGTTCGATGGTTCGGCATCCTTGCAAGCGATGCATCGAACGAGGCCTTCCCAGACACTGATGCACCGTTGGGCCTTGACGGCGAGCTTCTCAATACATCACCGGATGGTCAAGCAGATACCGACATCACCCCATTGCAGAAAGCAACAAGGATGATCGATACTCAACCACCAACCCGGGATGCAGTCAACAATCTTGCAGAAAATAGTTCCGAAGAAAGCTTATGGCAGGCATCGGAGAGTATATCACTCCTCGATCGAGAACAGAGCTTGTTTCAGAACTTCCTGCATCGTATATGTTCATGGGTACGTCTATCACACTCTGCATGAACATGCATACTGACCTTGTATCAGCTTGACTTGTTCGACCCAGCTCGGACATTTTCTACGCGAGTTCCCCATCTAGCGGTCCGCAACGCAGGTCTTCTCAATGCCATCCTCGCATTATCATGCTACCACCAATCCCTCGACGAAACCATCCCTCCCAATCAACGTCCGTCTCAAAACACTGCTCTACAGTACTACTACCAAACATTACACTACGTTCAGAAAGCAATGCGATATTCGACGTATCAGAATAGTCAGGAACTAATGGCTACGACCCTTATGGTCTCAACGTATGAGATGCTACGAGGGTCACGTAAGGATTGGCAGCAACATCTTCAAGGTGTCTTCTGGATTCTGAGATCTCGCCAGATTGAGGTTGAGGCATCGAGTCTTGAAAGCACGACGTGGTGGGCTTGGCTACGACAGGATATCTGGGTTGCTTTTCGAGAGAAGAGGAGAACATATAGTACATGGATGCCCAAGAAGGGATACGCGGATCTCGACAGCCATGAGTTAGCCTCTCGTGCAGTATGGATAATGGCGCAGGTGATCAACTTTTGTGCTGTTGATTCTTCTGCTGAGGTAGAAGGGTTGACGGGGAGGATTGGCTGGGCGAAAGCGCTGAGGAAGATGTTGGATGAGTGGCGGTCTCATTTGACAGTTGAGTTCTCGGCATTACCGACCATGGGGAATCGGGATAGTGAAGTGTTTCCGCCATATTTGATACATCCTCAATGTTTTGGTAAGCAGTCTCATCTGTGAAGTCGGGTCGGGTGCTAATTGAGACAGGTCTCGCTGTACAGCTTCACCATTGCTCGCGCATTCTCATTACAGCACACGAACCCCATTTAGACGGCATCCAAGGCCTTCTCAAGCGCCAGAAAGAGATCCAAGAGAGTATAAAAATGGTCTGTGGTATTGGCATGACACTCACGGAGGATGCTTCAAGCATGTTATCCTCGCAATGTCTCTTCATAGGTAGGTCCCCAATGCAATCTTCCAACCTGTATAAACTGACACCGTGGGCAGCCGGAATGTTCATGCAGAATCCCCGAGAACGAGAATGTGTAGTAGAAATGCTGGATTCATGTCAGAAGAGATGCGGTTGGCCTACACCTTCGTTAAGAACAGAACTGGAACAGATTTGGGAAAATCCAGATGCGCTTTGGGATGGTCAGCAACGGTGATGCTGCGTAACCGGAAGACCGAACAGCGAGATTAGCACGATAGCGGCGGTGTTGAATGTGATTTGTGATACCCTTAATGCATCAAATGTATCTTGCAATTAGATTCTGCCGCCGAAAATCTAAATTGAACGAATATACGAGAGAGGTTACATCATGCATGCATGGTGATTTGCCGCATTGCAACCGCAATAGGCAGCCTCCGTTTCAGCCCCCAATGCAAAAGCCCCGAGATAATGCATACCCCAACCAATCACTTGAATGAACTAAGCAAACAGCGCACAATACTTCTCAATTCTGCAATAACTGCTTTCATACACATACACAGACCCTCCTCCCGAGACTCCCCGCGTCATCCGCCAAGCCCAGCACCGAATCACGCGCCCGAGACTCCCCGCCGACATGTTTTCTACCCCAGGACATGATCTACACCCCGCATTATGTTTGTTTGCCTTCCCGCACAAGAGGGTGTTGGACCTTGATTGTCTCCACTACTTAAAACCATGGTGCTCTCGTAAGCTTGATTCATATCGTCAATCCTTCTTTAATCTTTTATCCGGGAAGAAGTGAGTGAAGATGACGATACACGGCATGTTTCGGCGCATTGTGCGCAATGATGCTATTCATGTTGATCCGCCCGAGATTTACAACTGGCGTGTCATTGCCTTGACAGCTTCGGTACGAGACCCGCGACCATAATCCGGGGATAGCGAGCTTACATTTATAGGCGTGTTTTGCTGGAGCGCTGTTTGGAGTTGATGCAGGTATCATTGGTGGCGTGCTGGCTATGCCAGACTTCAAGCGGTTTGTTTCCAAGCTACCTTGCAACGGGACCCCACTGAGACAGGCTTGACAGGGAGTTTGGTCTTGACACTCGGCCGAAAGAAGACGCAGCTGATCTAGCAGGAAACCTCGTCACGACAATGCAAGCCGGTGCTATCGCTGGAGCTCTCCTGTCCAGTCCATTTGCTGATCGCAAGGGTCGAAAGCCAGCGCTACTCCTTGTTGCGGTGACGGGTTTCGTTGGCGGTATCATGCAAGCCTTCTCTTACGGTCATCTCTCAGTCTTTTACATTGGACGGTAAGTTCCGTGACATCAAACACAGCATCATGGCTAGATATTAACAGCTGTAGATTCGTTGAAGGCGTTGGTCTTGGGGCAGGAACAATGCTCGCACCAACATACGTCTCCGAAAACTCCCCACGCGCCATCCGCGGCTTTCTCGTGGGCTTCTTCCAACTCCTCCTCGTCCTCGGCGGCATGACAGCCTATTTCATCAACTACGGCTCCCTTCTGCATCTCCCCGGCAAAGCGACATGGATGGTCCCCCTGGGATGCCAATCCATCTGTCCAGCATTGCTCTTCTTCAGCATGCTCTTCTGTCCAGAATCGCCACGCTGGCTAGCTTCGCGAGATCAGTGGGAGAAGGCCGGAGCTGTGTTGTCAGATGTGAGAAAGTTGCCTGTCGACCATGCGTATATTCAACAGGAATTGTTGGAACTGAAAACGCAGATTGATCAGGAGAGGGAGATCATGCAGGACACGGGGTTTTGGGCAATTCAGAAGGAGTGTTGGACTTTACCTTGGAATAGGAAGAGGGCACTCTTGACGGTGGCTATTGTTACGCTTGGGCAGTGGACTGGCGTGAGTTGCTTCTACGGCTGCGCGATTTGGACGGACGGGTACTGACGAAGTATAGACTGGTGCTATCAACTACTACGCACCTACAGTGAGTCGGTCTTCAATGTTCTCGAGGTTTGCATTAATCGATGATAGATCTTCAGTGGATTGGGCCTTAGCAGCACGACAACTGCACTGTTCGCACAGGGAGTAAGAATCTCTACAGCTTCTTCCCTCATCACTTACTAACATCTTTCATCAAGATCTACGGCGTCGTCAAAGTTGTTACATGCTTGATCTTTATCTTCTTCCTCGCCGATTCCCTCGGCCGTCGCAAGTCATTCATGTTCGGCGGTGCAATCCAAGCATTCTGCATGTTCTTTGTCGGTTTTGTATGCAATCCGCTCCAATCTTTGACCCCACTGACGTTGTTAGTATCTCCGCTTCGGTCCTGAACCTGGAGAAGGAGACCATCCTCCTCCGGCGGGTATCGCTGCTTTGGCGATGATATATATCTTTGCTGCCGCTTTCAACATGAGTTGGGGCCCTGTTTGTGAGTCCCTCGGGCTCTGGTGCTCCGACAGTTGTACTAATTCTGATAGCATGGATCTATGTCTCTGAAATTCCAACGAATCGACTTCGTGCATACAACGTTGCTCTCGCATCCTTCACTCACTGGGTGCACAACCTTGCAGTATCAAAATCAACGCCAGTCATGCTTCTGCACGATCCCTGGAGAGCATACTTCATCTTTGGATCGTTCAACCTGTTCATGGCAATTGCTGCATACTGGATTCCAGAGACCAAGGGTGTAAGTCACTCCTTCTTGCATGTACTCACCAAGACTCTGACTCGAATGATTCACAGATCTCACTGGAACGCATGGATGAAGTCTTTGGTGTCGCAGACTTTTCCAATGTCGAGGACGTCGGCATCGCAGCACGCCGCGCAAAGCGAATCGATGACGAAGACGTGGAAGACATCCAAGCCCCCAACAAATCTTAATCACATCTCTGAGCATTACGCGAGAGGATAGAGTTTCAGGGCTGGATTGTGATATAAACTCTGTTGGCTTCAATGAAATTTTTAGCTTGCAACCCCTGCATCGTTCATTCGTAACAATAATCGTAACGAGTTCCTATCATTTCCTTCTCCCTTGTATTATATACGCGAGACGACATTTATGCGCTTCTCGTGTTCTGAAACATCTGTCCGTTGGTTGGTCTGGGCCGTTTTAGCCGATGTTTTTGATGAAGACGCGCCAACATTTTGCCGTGTATCCGTGGGTTCATCTCGAGTCTTTTCTCCATATTTGGCCGAGATGCCGGATCAGCGGCAGAATTCACTAACGCATTCAATCAAATTCGAGAAGTATGACCTTGCTCCAGTTTATACCAAGTTTTTAGGTTCACCAAATGGATGATCGCTCGTGACGTGACTGCAGCGTAGTTCTGCGGTCAGTTGTTGCAATGTGACAGATCTGGACCAGCCCATTACTATTACCGGTGAATTGACGTTTAACGCCTGACTCGCTTGAGAGCGACTATTGACTGCTATTCTTGCTAGGCGGAAAACATGTCATATCATTGTTGGGTTATCTCCATTTGAAATTCTCGTATTGCACCAACTACCGCTTCGTTTATCCCTTGCGTCTAAACCTGTTTCGGCAGTTGACCGACACTAACAAATCTGTCCATCAATAGTCTGACAAACATCAAACAACCGACGCAGAATATTCATGATTATCACAATAATAAAATTTGGTATCGAATTATCTCTGGTCAAATGAACAAAGAGAAGCAGTATCTGTAGTCTAGTCCCCTTAACGCCAACCCAAAAACACACCACGCTATGCCGAAATACCCTGTCTATAATACTTGTATTCCACCGATGCCCCCTGACACATGTAATGATCTGCAATGAGATCCTTGGCCCGAACGTCCAGCCACCCAGCGGCCGCATCCTTGACGCCAAAGCCCAGCCATACCTCATCGTCGAGATATCCGTGGTTCGACGGTGGGAACTCGGTCTGGTTGGTGTAGTACGACATGGAGCCCGTCCAGGAATAGCTGCGGTCCGATTCTCCGTGGTACGTGAGCTTTTTGCCGACGCTGATCATGCGGTATGGCGCTGCTGATTCGTACACTGCTATCCGCCGGTCATACCATGTAAACGAAGCGCCCGGGAAGTCTTGTCGACGCTGCACGATGCCCATGAGAACGGTGTTTTGCTCATCGGGTTCGCATGTTCCGCGGTTGCACATTGTGACACTCAGCATAGGCGAGCTCTGGTGGACGTGGCTGTCGTCGATCATGACATCGTGGATGCATGTCTTTCTCTTCTTGCCGTGCCAAGTCTTTCCCGGCTTCGCCGTCGGTGGGTAAGGTTCTTCAACAGCCGACTCCTGGTCGTCAACCGCGACGATGGGCTCGACGGGCTCGTCGGCGGATTTCCAACGGAATAATTGTCCCGGCTCCACCATCATCAGAAGCTCGGAGTCTGGACTAAAGGGGGACTGAGCTAGCGCCCAGTTCTTCTCGCGCTGGTATCGAGGGTGGTTTTCCTGTCCTGGTGCTGGTTCGCGAACGAGGAGTGTTGGTTCGGCGAAGCGGATTGAGGGTAAACGGGATGAAAAGTAGGGACCAAGGACTTGTTCGAGCTCGGGGAGGGCGGCGCGCACGTCAATGAGGAATTGGCCTTGACACATTGTCTCATCGTCGACTTGGTGAGTGAAAATGAGAAGAGGCTCGCCGGCGCGTGTCCAGAATAGCTTCATGTCTTCTGGGCCAACGTACTTATCCATGTCCGGCTGTCTCTTGCAGTGATGTTCAGGTCCACCAAAGTCTTCCAGCAGCAGTGTAGACCATTCACCGGTTCTGATGACGGGTCGGCCAAGGAAATTGGTGGTGAGGTTTGCAAACGTAGCGACTTGGCGAGCGACCTTGTACTTTTTGCCCTTGATTTCCTTTGCGACATGGGTTGTGCGAGCGATGACGAGGAAGTCATGAGTGGTATTAGCATCACGAGGCAGTTCGAGTATCGTTGGATTGAAGAGCTTGTGTCCAGTCTTTCTCGCATCGATCTTATTATAAAAGCCCATGTTGTTCCTTAGACTGGTCAAGAGATGGTAGTCGACGTATGGTTTATCCTCATCATCGTCGCCACGGTCGAGGCGGAGATCGTAGTAGTCATCTTGAGTGTTCGATTGATCTTTCTTCTTATCAGCATCGTCTTTGGGTTGAGGTCGTCGATGGAAAGGCTCCTTTGGTGATGTCTTCTTTGGTGGCTGGGAGCGATTGGGATCTTCAGGTGGGGGTTGCTCCTCATAAAAGAAAGGCCGTTCTTGGATTGGTGTGATTGAGAGACCGTCTGATATTTTGATGTGAAATATTGTTGTGAGAATAATGCAGAAAGTCAAAATGGCCACGAACGTTAGCACGCCGCGCAGCAAAGGGTTGTGAGACCGCATGGTGGTATCATGAAGCCGCTGTGATATCGAGATGAAAGAGAGGCAGGTAGTTACGAGTGACGGGGCGAATAAAGTAAGTTGAGCGGCCATAGCTCGTATGATATACGGGAGAGCCAGTTGGTGCTGGTCATACAAACCCACATCGTATTCCGTTTCGTCATAGCACCCACCAAACCAAGGACAAGGTTCTAGGTCAAGGTTCTGGGTCAAGGTTGTTTAGACGCCGCGTGGTCAAAGACTCAAGCTTTCGCCAAGCATGTCAGTTTCTGCCCTCTCCATGTATCCCTTGTATCCCTTGTACCATCCGATCTAACCGGGCTCCGCAGTTGTCGGCCCTGCTACTGGATCTGCCGTAAAAACGTGAAACCCCTCCCTATCTGACCCTCTCTAGCCTCTGTTTAATCTGAAACATGATTCATACCGTAAAACAACTGCGACAGCATTTCTGCATCAACTATTTAATTATCCTTGCGTTAATCAGTGGCGGTTGGTCAAACCGTAGCCGCTGGAATGTAAGCCCAGCTTCCAAGTTGGGTGCTCAAAATAGAAGCATGCCCAGTGGAATAACGCCATTGCAACGTGCCAGAAACATTCCCAGACGCCACAAAAAAGGTTTGGTACCCAGCTGAACAGGAGCCTCTATCGAATTCCAGACCCACTCTGCGAGTCAAGCCGCGCAAGCTCTTGATTGACATCACTCTCTTTCGGCACGGCGATCCGCGGGGACCCCCCATGCAATCAATTATAAACTGCCGACTTGCCGTGGGAAAATCGGAATTCTTGTCATATCTACTGCTACTGTAAGGAGTAAATAGCCCCGTTTGATTGCGTCGAACAAAACGTCGCACAATACGGCTGGTGAGACGTATCCTTGAAACCTGGCAGAGGTAATAGATTGGACGGGGCCGAGTTTCTGTGAGTAATGTGATATCCAAGCGATGCAATGCGCCTGTTTTTCTTGGCGACACACGATTTGTGACATGGACGTGACGATGGGTCAGACAAAACATTTGCGCCGTATTGGAGATGTACAATATGTGGAAATAACCCGCCGTAACCTGCCATGCAATACAATCATCTGGCTCAATGACGTGCATCCAATGCTTCGATTTCTCTGCCAGAGGCGCATCTAATCTCACGAATTGGTAGCCTAAAATAGCTGCAACGTTGGCAACGGCGTTAGTTCCGTCGCTTTCAGATACGGACTTGATCGTGCCACTTGAACGCTAGCCACCGTTGACTATTGACGATGGCTTCGGCTAATGCCCAATACAGAATGACAGCCGCCGCTTCAAGACCCCTATCTATCAAGATTCATGCTCAGCCTTCAATGATGCAGCTTCAACATTCAACATTCTGCAACGTTGTTCTCCAGATCTGACAGACCGGGGATTTCCTCATGCATCACCTGTCAACGTCGCAACCGGACATTTTGCACACGATAAAGTCAGCGCTAGTATCTTTCAAGCCGCGTCGGCTATCCCGTTGCGGCTGCAAGCGTTTTTGAAGGTTTTGCTTAGGGTCTTGGCAAAGAAAACGAGACTGGGACCAGGGTGGGCTTTATTTTTATTTTTACTTGACTTAGGATTTAACTTAGCATTTGTGACTTGCAGTTTCGTAAGGCAGGATACGAGAAAGCACGGATTGTTTCCGTGGTGTTCTGACTGATTGTCAGCAGCTCGTATACGAGCATCACGAGTTGAAAACGTAAGATTCAGTGACGAGATACCCAATCTGGGGAGGGACTCGCTTCCAGTACCCGGGCAAAAGGATTCAGCTGGACTGTACTGATCTATGATCAGATCATCAGATCAGATCACCACATTGATGGTGAGGATGAAGGGCAAAAAGGATGATTTCGGGAAAAAGAAGCGGATAATGGTGGGTTTAAACCACCTATCTTGGACGAACAGGGAATCGAACCCTGGACCACTCCCAGAAGGACATCTCTTGGAGGAGAAGATGCTAAGGGAGTATTATACCACTAAACCATTCGCCCGCAACGACTTATGATTGGTTGAGGGTGTCAAGACAATCCCAGAACATGTACATCATCTCCCCGTAAACGCCGTCATGAGCAACGGGTTAATATCATTGACTTCCACTAGCAGGAGCAAAGAGAAAAATTTTGTTCAGAGATTCATAACAAATCTTTCATTGTTCGTTGACCTTCATGGGATGCTGCAGGAGGACAGGATACCAGAGTACAAACTTCCCGGCAGGTTCAGGGTAAGCTCGCCAGAATCAATTTGGTCTGTCTAGTCGATATATCATTTTGGCAGTATTGAAATACGCCTCATACTCAACATCATGCTCCGTATCGTCTAAATCGTAATGATAATGGCCTCCAGCGTTTGTCCCGTCTGCAGCGTAGCAATGTGTATGCTCGATCCGCAAACCCATTCTTCCTCTGGGATCAGCTGAATGCAAGACCGATAAACAAAGCATTGGTGCGTCGAAGTCGTGAAAGGTCAACCAACTATCGACATCTTTGCGATTATCAAACGGCAAGTCTTTCTCTGCTGGAAAGTCAGGCATGATATGGTATTTTGCCTTGCCCTTCTTGACCAAGAAGAGTCCACCAAGACTGACGGTCTGCGAGTCGCCATATGCTTGATGGAGACCTTTTGTGATACACTCCGAGAAGCTTCGTTCAGAGCCTGTCCTCTTTCGAGCTGTGATTTTGATAACTGGTCCTGGACTGCCTGAGGAGCCGAACAAGTTGATCATCAAGGCGCAGTCCAAGGAAGGACTCTTGTCGATATGGACAGCGCTTGTCTCCTTGTCGATCTTTGCATAACGACTCTCATTCTTGACATTCTCAAAGCTACCTTGCCAACCGATATTTGGCGCAAGTTCACAGTTTTGCCCGACAACGGGATGAGGTCCTGCGCCGGCACCGAGTAATCCCCCCTTCGCAGGATCCATATCCATGGCCTCCGCAAGCGCAGTCATGGACCAAACACAATCCATTTTTGGGCGCGGGAACAAATTCGGTTGACCTCCTACATCTGCTATCTTCTCATCTCCTGATAGCCCCTCGGTAGCTAGATGATAGGGTGCTTGCCGAAGATCCGGGCAGGACACGACACTCACTGTGGAGTGCTCATAATTGGCTGCCAAGGGTGCTTGAAGTTTAGCTGCCAGTTCCTCCAAGCTAGGCGGAGATAAGGGATGCTTTTCGATGCGCATGGCTGACTTTGTGGTTTATGTTGATCTGCGTAAAGATGAAATGATAATGCCACTCCGGAAATGGCGACATCACAGCCTCACAAAATCAAGGCGGGGTCCGCGGAGCATAAACTCAAAAATCTGTTCCAAGTAAAGTGACAAACTCAAAGCAAGTACGGCATTACGCGTCCACAACTTTATTCTTCCATCCATTGAACAGTGCACGTAGGATAGATAGATGGAAGGTTTGAAGGTACTAAAGGATAAAAATGCAAAAATGAAAGCCTCGCTAACGCTCGCAATCGAATATAGGAACAGCCCGATGCGGGGGTCGAACCCGCAACCTTGAGATCGCGTACTCGTAAGAGTCTCACGCTCTACCGATTGAGCTAACCGGGCGTGGCTCTTAATGATGTCTGATTGATCTTCAAAATGGGGACTATGCAGTCTAAACTCGTTTCCAGTGACATTCACGGATTGGACCAGCTTCAAGAGACATATTGAGGCTAAAATCATAAGAGTGCCATAGTAATGTTATTATTCGTTTCATGTTCTTTCTTATTCACAGATTGAAAAACTAGCCTGCGATGCTTAAATCTGGTTGGTGCTAGTCGCCCAAACGGCCTCAGCTTCATCATCCTCGCCCTTGTACAAGACAACATTTCCATCATCCTGCACAACCAGATAGACCTCATCACCCTGGCCACAAGTATCAGAAGCCCAAACAGCTTCGTCGTCATGGGTACTAAGTAACTAATCAGCTTCTGCAATACCACTCCACGGGTTAGATACTTACTACAAGACAAAGTTGCCATCATCTTGAAGATGGATGCCCTTGATGTCGTCGCGCTGGTCTTCTGTGTTCTGCCACACAAATTCGCCTTCCCAGTAGATGGCGATCTTGCCATCTTCTTGCATCCTGAATTCGTTGCTGCCGCTGTCGCTGGTAAGGCTGTCGCCTGGGTACAGCCAGTTGTCGTTGTCGAGTCTGCCCATTTTGAAGGTTTTTGAGAGTAGTGAAGTTGGTTGATAGAGAAAGAGAAGAAGCGTGCAAGTGTGATGATGTGTGTTGTTCTGGATAGCTTCAGAGCAGAGAACGGCGTCTTTATATACAACTTATCCCTCATTCCACCCCGCACTCTCCTCCTCTTTCATTCTCTGAGGCTGTGTTCTCTTCCGAAACATGCATATGTGCCAAGATTCAAAGTCGGATGATGAAGTTATCTTCGCGAGAGGCCTCACAAGCGCCAAGCTCACTACAATGCGGAGGCGTCGGCTATCTGATCACTCCCGCCCGCATTTTACCGCCTTGGCCTCCCGCATATTATGGGGTAAATCCTGGCCAAGAACGGAAACGGCATCTTTTCTCCCAGCGGTTATGCACGTTTCAGCCTGGGCGAAATAAACAAGAGGCTTGGGTTACGAAACTGTGTCCCTTATTGCGCCACGTCGCCTACATATTGCAGATCAGCGCCCTCCGTCGGATTTACTGGTTGTTGGAGAATCTTAGCGCTGACATGTGAGTGGACCGGGATACTCGGCTTGCGCGTACGGAGTGTCCAATGCATGGTTGGCTTGGCTCTTGTATACGTTGAGGAGCAGATGGCTTCATGGCTCATGCAACCGTTGGACATGGTATGATATGATGATCTCCCTCCCGGCCATGTTTCAGAGGATCTGATCTGCGATGTTTTTGCACATGTATGTAGTGTGGTCATTATACTTTCCTACTATTGTTTCAGCCAACATGCATACATTGCGACCCTGTCTATCGATCCTGTAAACAAGAACCTTGATGTTGTGCGAACACGAAAAGTATGACTTGAGGTACTACAAGAAAGGCATGAAACACGAATCAAGGTTTTGTTCAGACATGGCATTGAACAACGTGATCAGAGGATTGCCAGCGACCTGTGACACAGGGGAACCCCAAGGACAGAGCCACATCATTCGATTCAACAGCTAGATATCTTAGCTTGAATCCCGGATATCTTTTGCAGTTTCCGACATGTGAAAACTAGCTGGTACTGGCTAGCCGGAGCCACTCGTCTATAACTGCAAGTGCCCGCCGAGGTAGTCCCTTATAGCTCTTCTCATCATAGGTCTCGTTTAGTATCTGACGCAACATTTTTGCCTTTCTCATCATGGCTCTACTCGTACCAGATGGATTGTTTGTTTCTACAAAACTTCTTGCCTTCTCTTCTGCCTGCCGCCTTCGTTTCTTGACATCTTCGCTCTCTGCTCCCTCCACAAGGCAAAGCTGACAGCGACATTCAAAGTTCCATGTCCTCCGAATGTTTGCCTTTCTTGCCCCAAAGTCACTCGACTCATCATAGCTATGAGTGATCTCCTCACCAGCTGCAATTCTTCTTGTAGCGCGAAAGATGATGAGATCACCAACGAAATCCTTCTTTGCATTTGGAATACAAGAGTGGTTGATGTAAGAAGCCCGTATCCAAAGGCCAGTACTGGCGTTGCTGACATCTTCATCCTCGGTTTGTTGACCTAAGCCAAAGGCGTTGCGTTGGATGATATCATGTATCTGAAACGTGTCAATTACAGGTAAACCGTCTACTTCCTGCAACTTCCCCCCAATTCCGTGGTATTCTCCATGTAGACGAAGTACCTTCTTGACCTGCGATGGATTGTTGAGAAGCTTTTTCACAACAGCTTTGTGCAAACCCGCGGGAAAGACCTTGATGGCAGCGTCTTCTCGAATATCACACGCCAGCGCCGTGAATGTTTCGGCCTCGTGACTCCAGGCCGCACAAAACGCTTTCTCGCATAAGATGATCTCGTTTGTTTCGACATCTCGGGTTGCAAAAAGACCACGACCAGCTCCAGGGCTGTTTTTGATCTCCGTTGGACCCCGATACGAGGCTGCATCGGGTCTGCCTCCCGTCTTGGACAGATTGCTCACAATCTTGCTCATATTGTAGGTACCGTTGGCCTCCTCTCGCAGTCTTGCATCGATTCTTCGTAGATGTAGCTTGGGTTGCTGGTCATCTGGCTGGAGTCTGTCTTGCTGCTCGAAGTAGCTTCGAGCCTTGAGAAACTCGCCTTGGGAGTATGCCGCGATACCTGCACGATTATATGCCTTGGCGTCAAGAGACTTAAGAGCTTTAGCCTCACCATCATTACTAGTCAGAGAGTTCAAGGCATCCGATATTGCTTCATCAAATCTTTGAAGTTGAAGGTTGACATGAGCTCGATTACGGTGCAGGTCTTTGCGTACAGTCTCGCAATCTTCGCCACTCTTCAAACGCTCCAGCCCCTCCGTATACCGAAAATAAGCTTCGGCGTAGTTCTTCTTCCTAAGAAGTGCGTCATTTCCCTTCCTCTTGTACTCGTCTGGAGAAACAAAGTCTGGTCTTCCAGAGTATTGTTCCTTGTCTCGCCAAGATTCTGGATTTTCTGAGATTGCGATAACCACAAGGTCTGAGGGATGATCTATCCGAATTGTGCATTTTCCTTGGGCATTGAGAGTGTAGTATGGCTCTTTGATAACCAGATCGGAAGCTATCTCCAAAATATTGTTGCAGTACTGCGATGTGTGAAGAAAAACCTCCAACCGCTCTAACTCATCAGACGACTGGCATTTGACGACAGTCCAGGAGGATGCTTGAAGGATGGATACGGGTGACACGCGGCGCAAAGAGAGGAAAAAGCCCCGATGGTGCGTTTCCATTCTCAGGTCCTTGATGGCCATTGGCTGTAGATCCGCAAGTTTGGCTGTACTGGGGAGGTATTGCTTGCCTATGCCGTAAGCTACCATAGTCTCTCGAGATTTCTTTGGCAGACCAAATCCAAAAGCTGCAGAAGACATCTCTTGCATGAGGGACGTAGAAATAGCCTGCTCGATTAATGATTTGGGATCTGTAAGTTCCCTTGACTGGCCTGTCTGTTTTGCACCCAGCCTTGCAATATCTTTGATTGTTCGTTGGATACGCTCCGACTCTTCAGCCGACATGAAGATGGTGTTGTTCGCCATCTTAGTGCAGACATAAGTTATTGAAGACCGCGGTTTTCTTTTGCGCAAGATTCACAAGTGATAACATAAGAAGACTATGATAAGCGTGCAGGACAAGATGAAATCTTGCTGGCTCTTTAATAGTTGTTCAGAGGATCTAATTTGCTTGCGATTGATCTCCATCGAGATAACATGGTTACAACTCAGTATCCAGTGATTCATGCCGACATGTCTGTAGTGTCAGCACTAGATGCCAATTCGTCTCCAACTGTTACCCTTTCTATGCTATCTTGCGGCACACAAGGGGATAATGTACACCCTGAATGAGTTTGGTTGCTCATTGAACTGGACTAAGGGGCGAAGGATTTTCACCGATCGATCCTGACCAGTTGGAAACCTGAGAATCCGAAATATCCACAGAGATGAACGTCTGATCGGAAGGGATCTTGAGCTGATCATCGCCTGGACAATCTATTTATTTCCATGACTCTGAAGGGTCAGGTCTGACTGTACCGGCGGAAATGGACCAATGGGAAAGCTCATTTTCCGAGCGCACCAATGAAGATGCTGCATGTCCAATAAGACAAAACCTCAATTTAATCCCTCGAATACCAGTTTTGAAATAGTGTCAAGTTAATTGGGCGCAGGTCCTTCTTTCACATAAAGCATTCGTCTAATCTAGTGTTTTCTACAGGCTTGCATTGTTCCATACCATTGTAACGGTACTGCCTCAAACTTTCTCGAGACTCTTGACACAATACTTCACCAACATCAACGATTGCCTTTGAGATTCTGCGTCGTTTTTTAATTATGAATGCCCCTCACCAAAAGAGCCCCATACACAGAAAGTCAAGTTTAGAGAAGTCCCCGGATGGACACCAAGTTGATCAACGACTGCCTACCAGAGTCTCGATAAAGATATTTCTAAGAACTATTCAGTTCTCAGCAATCTGTCCAGTGGGGAGCATTATGGCACGATCTAGGGCATATGGCAATCCACGGTGACGCCCTCGAATCATCATCAGACAGACGACTGCTTTTCCAAAGGTTCCAAACATGCCACATAGTGAGGTGCTAACTGTCGGGTACCCAAGACTCAGTCCAACATTTCCGCTGGCCAGAAAGTTAGCTTCTGTCTCCCATGTATATCCCACCAAAGCAACACTTACTATGCAGAGGTAACTTCGAACAAGACTGAAAATACCGAGAAAGCCTAGGGCTAATGTCAAATCATATCCTTGCTAAGACCCTCGGAAGTACACTTACAGGCTCGTTGACATCCGCGATCCTTGTCGACTCAGAAATACAGATACAGAAAGTTCCCAAGAAAATATACCAAAGATCGAAGCCAAGCTGGTTCTTCATATGCGTCAAGAGATAAGTCTTACTGTGCTTCTCGTCCAGAGACTTCTCTTCTTCCCAAAGACCAAGGGACTTTTCCTCATAAGCATTTGAAGCGCGAATACTGATCGCGATGGGGAAAACAGCGATGTACATCATGATCAGTAAGCTGAGCTGCACGGCGGGGCTGACGTTGGCAAGATTGAAGCTAGCAGTACCGGTATGGCGCGCCGATGCAGCCTGGAAGATAGCCGCTGGGATGCGTTGAGAAAGTGGAAGAGAGGCGACTTCGGGATTGGAGAGGTCAAGAACTATTATGAGAAGAATGTCGATGAAGTTGAGAGCGAAGATGATACCGAAGAGAATCCATGTTGGACCGCTAGGGAAGAGCAATGTGTAGCATCGACGAGGATAAGTGAGCAGGAATGCGAGAGACTCCTGTGTAGGTGAGGTCTTTGGTACCAGCTTTGACATGATCCAGATGCTCAGGCGCAGAAAGACAGGATATAGCGTGTTCCCAGCGAATGCAAGGAAGCTCATGAGGATCATAGGCCACTTAGCCGTTCGGAAAGAGATCATCGAGTCCGGAGTGAGAGTAAAGCCCAGGTTATCGAGCATTGTCTGAGCGGAGTAGATGCCCCTACGTAAAGAGTCAATCTAGTCAGCGAACTTGCAACGCACAGGTCTCTTGGTACTTACCACCAGGTCTTATCCTGTGCACTTGATTGCAGGATATCCGCGTACTGCTTATCTGCAGTATGGATCCAGCCGACGAGACAAACTGCACCAAAGATATGAAGGCCAAAGAAGTAAACTGGAGGTGATTTTAGTTATCACGGACCCCTTGATTTGGAACACGGGTACCTACCCACTACTATCTTTAGCAACAACTTAAGACTCCTATACTCAATACCACCAAGAATCTCTCGATCATGTGACGTAAGGTTCTTGAACTGTGAGTTCCGTCCGAGCGTAGCTTGGCGTGAGAGGAAAGGGATGTCGTTGATGGCAGGCTGTCGGTGAGAGTTTGAAGAAACGGGCCGAGGCTGAGGCTCGGTCTGTGATCCCAGAACCAAGAACGAAGCTGCCACGCCGGCAACTTGATCCATGGAGCGGGAAACTGTGATCTTTAGACCATCGTCATTACTAAAGCGTCGACGACGACGCATGGAGGAGCTTCCGTCGTCCTGAACTTTACTAGGTGCAGATTTGATGGCATCATCTATGACCCGTCAGTATATCAACAGATATTTGACGGGAGACTATCTCACCATCATCACTGTCGTCTGGACCCGCGGCTCCCTGGCTTCTGGGAGCAATTGGGTACCCTTGGTTGATCTGTCAGTACTCATCCAAAAAGTGTGCGAGTAAACGTACCACGGTCGCGAGCTCGGGGGCCAGGAATATATAGGGCAGTGTCTTCCTTGTGCTTTTCGGTGGATGGATCAAAGGTTATAGTCATGGTACGGGCCACTGGCCTGTCTTCATCCGAAATTGTAGCATCCTCTTCAATGTGGTCATCTCTGGCTTTAGCTTTACCATTTGGGTCATGAGCGGCTTCGGCAGAGATTTCGGCCGTATCAGCAAGGACCTTTGACTCATGATGAGCACTCTCAATATCGATATCAGGTGCACCAGTGCTGTTGTCGACGCTTTGAGGGGCTGCTGTGATGAGTTTGGCGTGACAATTGAACGGATTCGCACAGTACTCACCAAGACGCTTCAGGTGCCTCCTGAACCAAAAGAGGCGCACGATAACTACCACAATGTTGATGAAGCCCAGGTTTGTCAAGATAGGAATGAAGTAAATGTAGAGCTGCTGGTACGTCTTGAGATCCTTGACGTCGATACTACTCAACATGTCAGAAATCGTCACGAGGAAGAGTACGTAACGCACGTGTTCAAGCCAGACTCTGTGGACGCACTGGCACCAAAGAACCAAGCATCGATAGCGGGCATGTTTCCGTAAGGATACAGGATAGGCAGGGCTATCAAGCCCATCAGGATGATGTACGCATCTAACGGCAAATCAAAGATTAGCTATCACATGGTAGAGGCTGCGCGCGGAAGTGGGTAGCATCACAGTGTAAGGTGAGAAAGTTGATTGGGGGCCGCAGCATGTTGGGCAAGATAAGCGACTAAGGCAACGTCGTTGCACGGAATAAGGTTACGGACGGTTGAAAGGGTGAGAGAGAAGGGAAAGAAAAGCGCTCTAGATATTTTATACTGAGCAGTTTGGTGCCCTGCCCCCCTCAGCATGCCTGAAACAGTCAGGCTACTAAACAAGCGCTGTGGGGCCACGCAAGATGCATTTATGCTTATTCCAATACTGCAAGGAGTGGTCGTTGGTAGACATTTCCGGGCTGTCGGGGTATGATACACCTTTACAGCTAAGATCACCACCGAGGCAAGCGTACTAGACGTAGAGTAACGCATATTCATACTGACGAGCTCTTTATTCAGAATTAAAGCATATGCAAAAAAGATTCTAACTCTAAAGGAGGCCTCAAATTGGATTGACATGTCTGCGGGCGTTGAGATGATAATGGAGGATCAAAAACCTTGATTCTGTTTAGCACCAACCGGAGCTTGAGACCGCCCTCCCCGTCGTCTTGGCCTTGATTATCGGGGCGTCGGGCTCGCCTCCGTCGCTCGGTAGCCAATCGCTGGCTGGATGTGGTGGGACAAGTCGATCTGTTCAACACGTGATGAGATTGAGGTATTTACACTCTTATCCAATCGAACGTGGCAAGAATTCTCCAGAGTAGGCATTGCTTATTCTCTTTCTTTCATTTTACTAGTTGCTCCATCGTTTAGCGACATTGGTGATTTCGACACACCACTTCATCTACCTCATCTCGGTGCATACCCTGTAGCTCGATGTAAGTCTAAACACTAGGTTGCTTCGAAATCTCGTGGGGCCGAGGTTTCCCTTAGTACATATACAAAAGTACTTGGAATTACTTGGAATTTGTTAGGTGTTAGATGAGGGAGGGTTGGTAAAATCTCGTATATTATTGAACGTCCTGCATTTCGCGATGGGCTTTTCTAAATGTGTAGTGAAACAGGAAAAAGGAAAAGAAAACATCCCATCGCTACTCATGCCGACAAAAGAAAGATCAAGAAACAACAAAGCCAATGCAATGCAGGCTTAAATTCTGGGAACGACTGTTCATACGTATGCTATAGACGTCATGCAAGTCTCATTTCATGCTCAAACACAAATGGCATCCCACCGATGATCTCTCCTATAACAGTTTGTAAAGACCCCCTCACTCAAGAAGCCTCCGCCTTGCGACCATAGACGTAGCGAACAGTCATGTAGGCATGAACCTTTTTGTTCTTGAGGAACTTGCGCATCTCCATGAGGAAGACTTGATACTCGTCCTCGGGCCACTGAAGGATGGTCTTCCAGAGTAGGAGGGTGTAGCCTGGAGTTTGTTAGCAACGAGAAGGGAATGGGAGGTCTGGAGACGTACCTTCGAGATCGTTCTCGAGAGTCGCGCGGACGTAGTTACCGACCGAAGCGAGTTCAGGGTCACGGGGCCAACCACCGATAGGGAACTAAACCATCAGTCTTGCTTCGCGATTCTCTCAGTGCAACTCACCTTGTACTCAATGCTCTTGATGTCAGTGAACCCAGCAGCCTGGATGCCCTTCTCCTGCAGATCACCTTCCTGCACGAAGAACGGGCTTCCAAGCGCAGCGCCACCCTCAGTGAAAAGCTTCGCCCAGAGCTTCAAGCAGTCGAGATCATCAGTGGTTCCATCATCACTGCGGATGTGGACATCAGCTTCGGCGGATTGGATCCAGCCGTCGGGGGCACAGCAGCGGTAAGCTTCCTTGAAGAGAGAAGACCAGTCTTTAATGGCGCCGAAGAGATAGCGGATGTGGATGAAGTCAAAGGTGTTGTTGTCCCATGTCCAGCGGAGGGTGGCGTCGTCGATCTCGAACTTGACGTTGGGGGGGACCCAGCTGGGGATGGTGAGTGAGATGATCGGGAAGGGAAGGGGAAGACGTACTTGGGTTGAATGGGTGAGAGGTCAGAGCCGATGACTTCAGCCTCGGGGTATTCGTCTGCAAAGTCACTAAAGGGTGAGTCGTCATCATGGTTGAAGGTTGAGATGTCTTACATTGCCCAGATACCTATACCTGATTAGCAAAGTCAACGTACGATATGCATGCAAGTCTCACCTGTTCCAGTTCCCACATCAAGCACTTTCTAGAATGTGTAAGCACGTCAAAAGACCAATAATATATGCACTCACCTGCACGTTGTCCTTGATAGGGGCGAGGAAGAGCTTTCCACTGAGAAGCTGCGTCAAAGCGTGATGGCTACAGATGGTCAGCGGGGTCAATCTCCGCAGGGTGTCACGTACTTGATGTCAATGGACGCGGACTGCTGCTCATCGTTGGGAGTAAAGTACTCGGTAGGATGTCTATCACTGTGAAACGTTCGGCCCTGAATAGTGCGGTACTCAAGGATGCTAGAGGTGATGGAAGCAGTGGAGCTCGCCCTGCAGACTGGTCAGCAACGGTGAGGTAGTATCAGCAAGGGTCCCATACGCATCATCACCAACAGCCGAGTCGGTCTCACTCTCATCACCATCCTTACAGGCATCAGCAAACGGCCGAAATACGTATTCCTATACGAGAAAGCGCTTTGAACTCACCTGTGGATCAGCCGCGGGAACTAACTCAGGCTGCGGCGCTGGAGCTGACTCAACGGCTGGCGCTAGATCGGACCGAGCCGTAGCAGCAGGAGCAGCAGCTGCAGCAGGAGGAGGAGAAGAGGGCTGTTCGGACATAGTGCAGTGCGTGACCAACAGTATCTGCAAGGTCTGGGTTATGAATTTGCTTGTGTCGTTCGGCGTGTGATGGTGGAATTTGATGCAAACCAACAGCGAAAAAGGGGATTGAGGGGAACCTTTGAGAAGCGAGGCGCGTTTGGTGATACGATAAAGAAACTGGGTTTGGTGGGGCTGGCATGCGGTTTAGAACGAATGCGGTTTGGGCTTGTTTGCTTCTGGGGAGCCAATTGTGGACGGGTATTGTTTGTGTTGCATTCGGCGGGGAAAAGACACCATCTGTACCTCATGGGTCGGAAGACAAGGTATATTCAACAGCGGCAGGCGGGAAGTGTCTTGGACATGCTTGATATTCTATCGATATATAGGAACAAAGTTTTGGGAGGAATTGTCTCGAATTTCGTCAAGGTCTCCAACGTTGGATCTTATCTCTTATCTCTGTGGCCGGCCAATCAGCAGTAGGCTATGCCAACCATCCTCAAACCCTCAAACCAGACCAGTACCATGGCCCAAGTCTTACATATCAAGATTGGTCATTATGTATTCCAAATAATTATTCACCCTCAAGTACAGCATCACTGGTAAGGTTATTATTTTGTCTTGTCGTGTCTGTTGAGTTGGGAGATTTATCTTGGCTCTATGAAGTGTCTAATGTACGTCTGGTTGTCTATAAGCTTGACTTGGTCGGTTGTCGTGCTGCTAAATATGATGGGCTTGAACTTGGCTGTAATCCTAGCTCTATTTTTTTTGTTCTGAATCAATTTCGAGATATGTGATAAGATTGAGAGGTTAAAAGAGGCTTCAGCACCAAGTCACAAAGGTAAAGAACAACAAACACAAATGGGCAGTATCAGAGTTCGAGATAATTTGGATTGTTTCCCAAGGAGTCGATCATCGACATTAAAAGCTGACACTCTACCTCGCTCACGGCCAAGAGCCAAGGCATCATCCTCTTCGAATAAAGTCCCAAACCCCCTCAGAAAACAATGAAAATGCAGGGCGGCAGGCAAAAATCCCATCCCAGACGTGGAGCAATCATGATTTTTATCTGTGTTAAGCAGATATCCACCCGCAGTAGCAGGGCTACAAGCTGAAACAAGAGGCGATTAGCAAAATGAGCTGCGAAACAGGGTTTGAAGTGCTTACATCTTCTTCCGAGAGCAACCAGCAGCGCACCGCCCGTTGTGTCGAGACGCGGTTACCACCGATCAAGCAGCTCCAGCCTCCAAGATCTGCTCATACAGAGCCTCCCCGAGTATTGTCTTGAGTGGCCGGAGCCACTTCCCCTCTCCGTGTTCCTCAACCAAACGTTGAGCCTTGACGATCTCCAAAATCATCATGAGCACAACCTCCGCGTTGTTTTGCACCTTGAGAAAGGCCTCCAACTGGGGGAGCACCTCTCCGCAGAGTTTTCCAACCCCCACGAACCTCTCGATGGGCTCGCCCTTGTTGTCTTTTGCTCTTCCGAGCAGGATCTCGTCCGCCTTGATCAGATCGTTGCGAAACGTACGGACAACTGGGTACATTGATTTGTTAGTGGATCTTTTTCTTCTGTTGTCTTTCCGCCTGTACTCACCATCTTCCTCGGCTCCCACGATCCGAGCCATGATTGGAGGCGCCTAACCTCGCACATCTAACTCAGGTCGAATGAGGATGCTGACATCCTCCTTGGCCTCGTCACTGAGCCTCGATATCTCTTTGAGATCGGTAACGACCTCTTGGAACGCGTCCTCCATCGCATCGAGGACGGGGAAGATACCTGGCTCGGCGTCTCCCTCCTCCACTGTCTCCAGTGTTGCCAGGCATCTTCCCCATGCCTCGTGGGTGAAGTGGCCCCTGTTGCGGAGAAGGTTGACGATGTCCTCAAATTGAGAGGCGGGAAGTTCTAGGTCGGGTCGATCCTCTCTATTGAGAGGACGTTGCGGAGTATAATCCCCACACAGCACGGAATGCAAGATCATTTCAAAAAAAGACATTTCGCGCGCTACTTTGAGAGATCAGACAAGGAACGACAAAAAGTTTGAGGGGGACTTACTTGCGTCCTGAGGAGCGTTCAAGTTGTACGGAGATGGTTTGCTTTGCTTTGAATAAAACCCTTGGTTGTACGTGGGTGAAGGAAGTGGTGAAGGTAGCAAAAAGACGAGAGAGGTGGGATGCAGCACTAACTTTTAGTCTCTGAACATGGTGGGGTATGAATGGCCAGATAAATGGGGCTAAATAGCTGCCAGGCACATCAGTTACTCCTGAATTGTAGCAGTGTAAAAGGTGGGAGCAGCCCATGCACCTGTCAAGGTAAGAGGATGTGCTAAAAATTTATTTCACTTCGTTTTTACTGTTCATTCTATAGCTGAAATGTTCAAGCAAACCCTACAGAAAAACGACCATGACAAGAGCCCCCATGCTTGTGTTCTCGTTCATAGCCTTGTTCTCCCCTTCACTGGCACTGCCTCATCAATTCCACAGTTACAGAGTCAGAAGACCCCCAACCGCTGACAGAAACGCAAACATCCATAGACCACATATCGCCGTAAGACCATACCCTAGTATCTTGGCACCAAGCGAAACGTCTTTGAACATTCCAACCAAGAAGGATGATAATACCAGACATCCAAATGCGCAGAACCCAACGTTGATCATGGACAGTAGCTTTCCTCGAATGTTGTCCCTGTACCCTGAACTTCGAACACTAAGTTCACTGTCCACTTCATTCACAACAGTCATGAGATTCAACAGGATCATGATGATCAAAACGATAGCCGCGAGTAGCATCACCACGCCGAAGAAGTCGTACAACAGGGTCCCGAGATCCTTGAATCTTGTTTGCATACTGAGAAGCCCAGCGGCAAGAGACAGGGGCAGGAAGATTGTGGCCAGGAGTGTGAGTTGCTGAATGCCCTTTGTCTGATTGATATCCCGGGCTAGTTCGAGATATTTGAGGTCGTGATCTAATTGATCTGACAAGCTCTGGACTCTTTCGTTCGCCTCCCGGCAGAGTCCTCGTATTTCCATCTCAATGGCCATGAACTCATTCGTACAAGACGTTGAGTTGACAACATGAGGCGATCATCTTACTACATCGATCAAGGACTCGGTAGTACTGATTAGTTTGCGTGCCATCTCTCTAAGATCTCGATACTCGTAGGACCGCTGGGTGATAGTCTTCAGATTCCATTGCCATAGTTCCGCGAAGCCGGAATCTGTGTTTGAGTCATCTGCGTGCTCTTTCTCGTTAACTTCCAAAGCAGTGAGGGTATCGAAAAGCAGTCTGAGACACGCGTGGTGGAACTGAAGAAGACAGAGTTTCTTCCAGTTATCCTTGGATCGAACTTTAATGTAAGGTGCATCCAATAGCTTTAGTTCTTTGCTTATCTGCATTGCAGAGTGAAAGTCTGGTAGACTATCTCTAAAATCTTTTCCAGAATATGTGTTGCATTCGATCACCACTGCCAGTGTTAACATCCACCCATGAAGTCTGACAAGGACTTACCGCATCTTTCTTGGCCTTCTTCAAATACCTTGATGTATCTCCTGACCTTGATGGGGAGCGTAGTCTCGTATATGATGATATGATACCATGTGTTCGATTTGGCTTGCTCCCATTGCGTAGAAAGCTGCAAAAGCCCCGCGGCAAGAGGAAACGTGTCCCCACAGCCATGAGATCCTTCTTCTATGAGCTCCAGTCGTATGCCATGGTCGCCCTGCGGAGGGTCGTTATCCATCGTCTCGCCTGCGTCATCTTGGGGGTTCTCATCGCCCCGAAAGCATTGCCAACGGGACTCCCCCTCAAGCGCAATATGCCAGCCTCTAAGGAATATGGTCCCGCTGGGGCCGAGGCGAACACTCTCCTTCCATTTCTTCCTTTTAAGGAGTCCTTCTCTTGTTTTGAAGTATCTGCCAAATAACAAAACAGTTAACAAAGAGACGCCACTGTATGCAACAGCAAAAGGCTCCATCGTTTCTAGGGGGTTGTTGGGTTATTTGTCCCAGACAAATTCATGAGTTGAGTGCGGGGCGGGGTTTTGGCATTGCGTGAGGCTGAAAGCTGCCAGGAACTTGAACCAATCGCCTTTCAAGAGACACTTCAATGATCTGACATTTTGACTTGCCCAAAGGTGCTGCAAAAGCTCTACGTGGCATTGAAACGGGGCATAGCTCAAGTTCTCCCGCAGGATCAACCCAAAGCACGCATGGCTATCAACTGGTATCACAAGAGGACTCTTTCCAAGGCTTTTATTGGCAACGATATATCCAATCCTACTGTTCGGCCTTCTGTCCCATCCAAAAGTAATATTTCTCATAAGAATGAATATTGACATTGTTCAAATCCTTTCTTGCATCAGCCAGGAAGATCTCTATTTCTTCAGGTCCCAAGATCTTGCGCAGGGGCTTGGCTGCCATGGCACCAAACATGTCGCTGACAGCGGTCTTCAGGTACAATCCAATGAGGCGAAGCTTCTTGTCCTACCGAGGGTCAGCTTGTCCAGATCAATTGATGGCAGTGCTTACCTTTGCCCATGTTCCGATAGGGACTTTGAGGACCTTGCAGGATACGTTGGTGAAGCCCGCTTTCTCAAGCGGTTCACGCAAGTTCTCGCCCGCGCGGAACTTCATGCCAAAACTGGCTACGGCTTGTTCAGCGGTGTCGAAGAATTTGGCGAGAGGGGCGTCGGGGGCTAGGGAACCATCGTCGCAGTTGGCACGGGCATCGAGTTCTTGGATTTCGATCCAGGCGCCAGGTTTCATGTGGCTGTTGCATGTGAGATAGGGTACGATTGGGGAACCGGGTGGATGTACTCGTGTGCTTGACGAAGAACCTTGACTTCGTCCTTCAGCCAGGGGCTGATGCAGCGCATGTGCACAAAGTCAAAGTCGCCGCCGTGCATCCATTCGTCTTCGATGTCGTCGACGAGAAACTTGAGATTCGGGGGAACCCATGAAGGTTGAATGGGACTGAGGTCGACTCCTACCACGGATGCGCTGGGGTATTTGTCGGCGACTTGGGTGATGAGTCTCGAGGTCTTGCGAAAGAGCGGTCTGACCTACCGTCGATGGCCCAGATACCAGTTCCGGTTGCGAGATCAATAATCTTCTGGGGGTTTTGCACAATGGGCGAGAAGAATAGGTTGCCACTTGAAATGTCAGTGCCTCGGTCGTTGTATGATCCAACGACTCTTCCTTACTTTGTGAGCTCCAACATCATGGCGTGCTTCATGTCGTCGCGGTTCTGCTCCGCATCATCGTTGGGAATAGGATATCTACTCTTGTCAGTCTTGAACCGCACTGCGCATTCCCGGCTTCATACGTTCCATGGCGATATTGATGATACTACCCCAAATCAGCACATTTCTTCCCTCTCCAAACCGTCTAACTCACCCGTCTTCCATTCTCAAAAGCATGCTGATAAATACTCGTGTTCAGACTCGTCGAACTAGACGACAGAGTCGCCGAGTCAAAGTCTGACGTCTCAAACTCATCCTCCTCCTCCGCCCGCTCATGTGCGGCAATAGGCTCAATGGGTTCCTGGGTCATAGTCACTGGTTCTGCCATGATTCAAGAGTTGAAGTTTTAGCGTTGCTACCCGAATGTTCCGCGGCGGGAAGCGCAGTAGTTTCGAGGAAAGGTGGACTCGGGCGATTTTCAAGCCCCGCATCCATCGCGCGGAAAATGGCGCAGGATCCTTGACACTTTTGCACTGCACAGTGGGACACTCAGGCTGATTAAGGAAAGTGATTGCATTTTCATCTCGGGAGCTCATTATCTATCCTCTACTCTAGGTATCAAACATAAGGAACATAGCGTTGCAAAGAAAAATTCCAAATCATCATCATGCATACTGGATAGTGAATTCCATGCTCTGCCCAGGCACGCATCTTGTTCCTGGCGCGACAGCCATCGCCACTGACCAAGTACCGGAAGCGCATCGCTGGAAGGCAGTTCCTGTCTTGATGCAGTTCCAGTAGCCCTCGGGCTTGCAAGCTGTACCGGGGGTGATGACACCGGCGGCGGGTTTGGTCGGCGCAGGCTTGATCGATGTAGTGGTGCTTGTTGTCTTGCGAGCTGTTGACTTGAGGGTCGTCTTGGTCGTCTTCTTAGTGGTTGAAGGAACAGTGATGAAAACACCGCCAGGACTGTGAAACATGTTAGCAAGATCAAGCAAAGAGAGGGAACCACTTACGCTGTAGACTTCAACGGTGGCTTAGTCGTAGTCGGCTTCTTTGTAGTAGTTGTCTTTGTCGGAGAGGGAGAGGCAGAGGGAAGCTGGACTCCTGGTCCAGCTGCGCACTGACCGACCGGCGGTCCAGTGTTGGTCGAAGTGAGGTCGACGTTAGGTCCCGGGTTAGGAAACATGAGGTCGACCATTTCCGTGGTTTTGCATCCATTTCCGACGTTGGCGACAAACATAGCAGGCCGTTTCTTGAGGGCTGTCTTCGCTGTTCCCGTTCCAGCCTTGACCGTGATAGCCGCGCAGTTCATGTACATCTCGCGATTTCCAATCCTGTTAAACCAAGTCCAAGCGAAAATAGCCTCTCCAGCTGGTGTATCAACTGGGAGGGTAAACTGAAAGTTCGAAGTCGGCGCCTTGGGGCAGTTTCCAATCCACGACTGGATAACGACCCAAGTCTTGCCGCGATCAAAAGAGAGTGAGACCTGGCAACTGCCGCCTCCATGGTCTGCACCGCCAGCGATGCTGATACTGTACGACTTCCCAGCCTGCCATGTAGCGGTAGGTGCACCGGCAGCGGTGCCAAAGAGAGAGTTGTATCCCTTGCAGGGAAAGTTGCTTCCGTCGGCGTTGAGTGGCGAGGTCATACTGTAGTCGATGTCCTGTCCGGCGTAAGGGTTGTATTTACTCTTGAAGGGGGGAGGATATGTCATCTCCATGTGGGCTTGGGCTAGACCAGCTAGACCCAGCGCTGTAGCGAAGGCGTTGAAGAGCTTCATGGTGAGAAAGGAGAGTTTGGTGTTTTGAAGGGGTAGGGAAGAAAGGGAAAAGCCAAGAGGCTGTTGTTATGTATGTAGAAGAATGTGTGATGAGAATGAGTCTGCGGGAAAACGGTGAGGCTTTCGATTAGTTTTATACATTTTTGAGGACGTGCAATATTGGTTTTGACGTGCCAAGGTGAGAGGTCAGTCGAGAACTAGGGAGGATTGCGGGTTCGTGTTAGTGCGGCGGGCTAGAACGTGCTCCCTCGGAGTGAAGGGGAGACAAACCAGCCGCAGCGAATTTCCAGCGTGTATCACTGTCGTACATTGAATTGAATCATTCAGTGAGCAGTTTCAGTGGGAGCACAAGTTTCAGAGTGGTTGGGAACTGGTCATATGCTGCGTGATTGAGACACGGTGATGAGCGACTCTGCATCACGGGGATAAAGGGATGAGACTTTTGGATGCCATGAGTTGTTCAGAATGGCTGGAAGTGAAGCTTACACAATCTGAAACTTGGAATTGAATAATGTGTATTATCATGAGGCTCTGACGTTACGTAGTTGGAGCGCTGTTTTGCTGGCGAACACATTGATCCAGATGGCTGGGTGTGAGACATGCGTCAGTGACAATGGCCACCAGGGCTGGGAATACCACGGAATGACAGCAGACCTTTTCTACAGTGTCTCAGAATTGGGGGGGAACATTCACGGTCAATTGAGAGATCGATTGTAGGGTAGCGCATGTGCTGCGCGATCGCGATCAAGCGCATCTAGTCTCGACAGTTGAAGCGATCGCAGAACGGACAGTAATTACCTTTGTTCAATGCAGTGCCGGAGAAAGGGCACCGTTCCTATCAATAATGAATTATACCAAAAACATGAGTTGACATCAATATCCTTAATGGTCTAAAAGTTCTCAACGAAAAGAAAAGTCTTTAGACCAATACTCTGCCGTTAACCGTTGCGCCATCCCATAATTTGTTACTGCATTCCCCCAGCGCCACGCGTTCCAAAAAAGTGTAAGGTCCCGTCCCTGAAAATCGCATTCCGCAAATTCCGGTTTTGGACAAAGATCGGAATTCTGCTGTGGCTGGGCGGCTACGTAGCGTGCTTGACAGGAATGTGAATGGGTATAGAGCGGGCGGGATCTTCACTGGTTTCGGTCTTCGCCACGGAGAGACTCGTCTCGACGGTTGGCATTCTGGTGAGAGACATGTGATTGAGTTCTTTTTATAGATTTTTTGACAAGATTGTTTCGTCTCAGTAAGGTTCGGGGGACGCCGTCAAAGACAGTCTCGGGCGCGGTGCATGGTGTAGTGACTCCAGAAAGCGTTAGATAAACAACAAGTTCGCAAACAAAGACGAAGATCTGCTGCCCCAATTCTTTATCAATCAGTATCAAATGCGATACACATCTCTTGCTACAAGCGTGGTTTCTTCGTCGAGCTCGGGTTCTGCGGAATGTCGGCACGTCGACGACGTCAATGACTCTGTAACTGGGGCATATCCCCGAAGCACAAATTTGTCAGCCAGAGTCGATGCATTATAACACTTTGATAAACCGTTACATCGCCCCATCAAGAAGATGCGCGACAGTATTCCCGCCACTAAAAGTTGAATTCAGGTTTCATTGTGGGTATTGATTTGAACTGGTGACGATTTTATCATCGATTCTTGGCGTCACTATGGTCTCCGCCCAGGATTTTCTAGAATGCGACCTACCTACACAATGGTGATCGCATCGAGTTATAACGATGTCGCGCAACCAAGAAAAATCGTCTCGGAATTTCTGCTTCTTTCTCATTGTTAGTTTTTAAAAACCACCGACCATTCAAAATGCAGCCAGATATTCCCTACCGACAATCCCACCAACAGGCTCCAGATGAGTGGAAGCTAGAGCAAGGACTCGAGCCCGCGCGTCTCGGCATCCGCAACCAGAGCAGCATCCAGATCAACACAGAGCCTCATCGTCTCAACCCAAATGACCACGAAGAACTGAAGGGATCTGATATCCCTGAGGACCCGGATCTCGACGTTCAAGATGAGCGGCCCGGTTGGAAAGGCTATGTTGAGTGGGAAGACTACCCAGAGAAGAAAGCCAAGGCTCACCAGCGCTTTTCGCGCTTCACATTTCCTCCTCCGCCTGAGTTCCAGTTAGAGCCTCTTCCAGCAACGAACCCCGTCCTTGAGGGCAAGAGATGGAAGTTGTGGCATAAAGCTATCGGGGGGGTTCTAGATCAGGTTCCCCGAATCAGTTGGGAGACTGTTCTCAAGGTAAATGTTCTGCGCGAACTGATATTAGGCTATGACTAACTGTCGCAGGAAAAACACCCGGAAATGCTTCATCTTCTCGAATTTCCCTATAACGGAGAAGCGCCCAAGAGTCTCCTGACCAAAGACTACATCATGCCAAACGAGCTTCATTTCGTCCGGAATCACGGTGGCATCCCCGACATCGAAGCAAGCTCCTACGACATTCGTCTCGATGGGCTCGTCAACAGCCCCAAGACACTCACCCTGGCAGACTTACAAAATGAATCCCTCTTTCCAAGAGTTAGTAAACTCGTGACCATTCAATGCAGCGGTACTCGGCGCTTCGAGCAAATCGTCGAGTATCCAGGCGAAGGTGACGAAATGATCAACGCCCCTTGGGCAGAGGGCGCTATAGGTACAGCGAAGTGGACAGGCGTCAGTCTGAAGAATGTCATCAAGTACTGCGGCGGTCTGAAAGATGGTGCCAAGCATCTTGAACTCTACGGCGCGGATACGTATTTCAAAGGAGGCCAGTGCATGAACTACGTTGTGTCGGTGCCGTGGTCAAAGGTCAAGGCAAACGAGGTCATGTTGGCTTGGGAGATGAACGACAAGCCATTACCAAAGATCCACGGGTTCCCTTTGCGGGCTGTTGTTTTTGGGTATATCGGGGCGAGGAGTTGTAAGTGGCTTTATCGAATCAAGGCGATTGAGAAACCAAGCCTTGCGCCGGTACAGAGCAGGGAGTATTTGTACTTTCAGCAACAAACTGGAAAGCATAACCAACTGCCCACGAGTAAGTTCTGTCATCTCTCGCTTACCTGAGACGATTGTTAACCATGGAGCAGTGGGCATTCAGATCCAGGAGATGCCTGTCAGCAGTGCCATCATGTCCCCTTGGAACAAAGAAGTTGTCGTCCACGATGGCGAGATTGAGGTCAAAGGTAAGTCCCCCACCACGTCTTCCCAAGAAGTCACTGACTCTTTAAGGTTGGGCATACTCAGGCGGGGGCCGCTGGCCCGAACGCGTAGAAATCTCCTCCGACGGCGGGTACGTATGGTACGCCGTGCCCATCGAGAATCTCTCACCCAAGCATAAATTCGCCTGGCGTACCTTCACCGGAAAAGTCCCCTGCGACCACGAAGGCTGGACCGAACTCGTTGTTCGCTGCTGGGACAATAGTCTGAACACGCAGCCCATGGAAGTTCGACATAGCTGGAATTGGAGCTTGCATGTGACTAGTAGCTGTCATCGGGTCAAGATATACAGTGTAAATGCGAAGAGGGATGCTACGAGGAAGAGACTGGGGGAATTTGATGAGCATGGGCAGGGGTTTATGCCTATTACTAGACCGACGGAGTTTGTGCCCATGAGTTTGGAGGAGTATGAGAAGGAAGTTGCAAATGTTGAGCCGAGAGATGTTGATGACTAGATTATACGATCGATCTAGAATTCAGGTCACTCAAATCTAAGCTTGGCTATGATATGCTAGTCGGGGGGCAAATGGACTAATACTTTCATATTCCATCCACAACAATCGATCTTGATCAACTCGAATGTTTAAACCAGTTATTTTGAGACTGATCACAGATGTTGTGTGCTATTAGTGAGAAGCGAACACTTTACAATCCCTCCCTACCGACCGGGCGAATCGTTCAGCAAGCAGGTAGCCTGTCCAGCCCAACCAGCTCTCGGGCTGCAATGCAACCCAGGGCCACAGCAAGAACGTCCGGTGTTTTAGACGAGTAGGATAAGAATTGCTGGGATGAGTTTTTGGTTGCTCACAATTCAGTCATAGAAGGCTGTCTATGACGCTTTCGACTCGTGTCGCATGCTGATAATAATCACGTCACTATTCGACTGTGGAGCTGGCGTTTCGAATATAAAGACAGCGCCTAGCATTTGAGCGGCCAATTGGCACAGAAATATTTGTCAGTAACACAGAAATGTCAGATGTGAGTATTAGTTGGCTCAAAAGTATATTGACGCCGTGTCGCTGATAATTTCAGTCAAACGAAACCCCGGTTTATACCCTCGCTGAGGGCAAGCCCGTCGAGGACCCAACCTCATCCGTCGTCCTTCGCGGACCAAAAGTTCGAGGTGGCGGTCTCGCATTGTTGGCAGACACGCAATTGATCGAGACACTTGCTCACTTTCCTCGAGAGCGTATTCCTGAGCGGTAAGTCTCCCCGACCCTCCTTGACAGAAAGACTTGACTAACGATATCAGTGTTGTTCACGCCAAAGCGGCTGGAGCATGGGGCTACTTCGAGTGCACCCATGATATCACAGACTGGTGTTCAGCAGCGCCTTTCCGTCGCATCGGCAAACAGACCCAAGTCCTTGCCCGTCTGTCTACCGTCGCTGGTGAGAAGGGATCTTCCGACACCCTCCGTGACATCAGAGGCTTCGCCCTCAAGATGAAGACCGAGGAAGGGAACTGGGATTTTGTCGGGAACGACTTACCCGTCTTCTTTATTCGCGACCCAGCAAAGTTCCCTTCGTTGAACAGATCTCATAAACATCACCCGCAGACTGCTGTTGCTGATGCAAGCATGTTTTGGGACTTTCACAACAACAATCAAGAAGGCGCTCACTGTCTGATGCAACTATTTGGACCACGCGGTGTACCACAGTCTCTCAAGAATGTAAACGGCTTTGGAAACCATACATTCAAATTTGGCAAACCCGAAGATGGATCTTTCAAGTACGTCAAAATCCACTTCAAGCCTGACGATGGCATCAAGAATCTTTCACAAGAGGATGCCATTCGTCTTGCAGGCGAAGAGCCAGATTATCACGTCAAGGATATGTACAACTCTATTGAGAGAGGTGACTATCCGACATGGACCATGTATCTTCAGGTCATGGATCCCAAAGAGGCGGAGACATACAAGTGGAACATCTTCGACATCACTAAAATCTGGCCTCACAAGGACTATCCTCTTATCCCCGTCGGAAAGCTTGTGTTGAACAAGAACCCAGATAACCACTTCCATGATATCGAGCAAGCAGCTTTCTCGCCTTCGACACTCATTCCTGGTATCGCTCCGTCAGCTGATATCATGCTGCATGCGAGAATGTTTAGTTATCCTGATGCTGCACGCTATCGCGTTGGCCCAAACTACCAGCAACTTCCATGCAATCGACCTCTTGACGCCTACTCACCATATCAGAGAGACGGACCGATGCATCTTGATGGAAACTATGGTTCAGACCCTGATTATGGTATGTGATCTTTAGTTGCTTGAGCCTGAAAGGAATAGCTAATATCTCCAGTTCGCTCCTCATTCCGCAAGGTCAAAAGCGGTCCCGCCGACGTCACGCACAGCGAATGGGTTGGCAGAGTCCAAGCCTACTCGTCCGACGTCGAAGACGAAGACTGGGAACAGCCTCGTAATCTGTGGAAGATCTTCAAGGATAATGAGGAAGATGAAGTCTTTCTCAACAACCTGTCTGGTCACGTCAACAAAGCACTTCCCGAAGTCCAGGAGGCAACAGTTCGTAAGTTGCAAGCATATTAAAAATGTTTGGTGGAACTGAGCTAATAGAGTGACAGGTATGTGGGCTAATGTTGATGAAGAGATATCGAAGAGGCTCGGAGAGAAGTTGAAGAATTTGACTGGGGATTTTGACCATTCCAAGGCACCGCCGAGTCAGACTGTGTTGGCGTCGAGGCGTAAGTGATGCGTCTTGAGAAAGACTGCCCAACTACTACAATAATGCCTTGTTGAGGCTATGGCATCGCTTTGTTTCAAAATGAAGCCCTCTCTCACGGAGGCGGAGTTGCTTCTCTGATCTCAGGTCGCACCAAGTGTTGTGAAACGCCATATTCTACGAAGCTGGGCACATTTCTTGGGGAGATCAACTGCGCTGGGGGCTGAAGGCCTTGCTAACCGTTCTGTGTAACCCATACACCCTAAGAATAGATGTAATCACCGCTGCCGAAGCTTGTTACCTACCCACTCAACCGTATGTCCCTGCTGTGTTCCATGAACAGCCATGATTATGTTTCATCACTCTCGTATTCACCTGTATGTCAGATTCAAAAGGGCCGAAGCTGAACCATCTGTTGAGTTGGGTATACAGTCTGCACGTATCAGCCCTAGCTGGCATCCTGGAAGCCACAACGCGTAGCCACTAGCTTGCCAAAATTTCATTTAAAATTTCATTTAGGTCTTGATCATACCCTCACAGCAGCCCATGGCCCATGTAGATCTTTCCTCTTCATCTCTTCGACCAGGCTGAGTTCCGTTCAAAATGGAGAATGATTTCTCCCGTGAACCAGCATCTGACCAGAAAAAAGACCTCAGATCAGCATCAACCTGGTCTCCATCCGAAGGCAGCTCCATTCAGCACTCTCTGTTACTCCACTCTGCGTCTCCTTCGGCCTGGCAGGGCGCAACTACCAGCGAGACTAGTCTTCTGAGTCCCAATCAAGAGCCCGATGAAGCGATCACAGCTGTCAACTCTTACTACTCCTCGACGTGGTCAAATATCCTCAGGAGCAGATGGTTAATGGTCGCATGTCTCGTCTTCGGTATCGCAGCAGCCATTGGCCACGATACGCTCAACAAGCACCTTTCTGGTCAAGAAGCAAGGAACCAAATATGGTGGCTTCGGCTCGGGCAGTCAATCGCCTTTGTCTCAAAAGCAAACTCTGCTATTGCAGTCTCTCTAGCTTACCAACAAATTGCCTGGACGTCTGTCGCTTATCGGAACTTCTCCGTGCATGCAGTTGACTCGCTATTTGGTGCAGCGCATAACGCCATTGAACTCCTCAACACTGAGGCTTGGAAGAAGTCATGGTTCGTCATGCTTCTGGCTCTTTACGCGTGGATATCGCCACTCGTGGTTATCTTCACCTCGGCGACTCTGAGCGTGGACAGCCATGTGAATAGGACATGCCATAATGTCCGGACACTCAACTTCAACCACGAGGCGAAGAAGAAGTGGACTCACTGGAGAAAGGCAGAGGGTTCCGAGATCCTGCAAGGTGGCAGAGTATCATGGTACAACGATACCCTTCCAGATGAGGATGGCTCTGATGTCTTTGACTTTTGGATCAGTCCAAGTGCATACCTTGACGAGATTGCATCCCGAGTTCTGACAGGCGGGCAGGCACTGCAGCGAGACGAAGTCGCCGACGAAATCTGTGGGGAAGGATGGGATTGCTCAACCGTTATACACTTCACTGGACCAGGATATCGGTGTGAGCAACTCGCCAACGGCACCAACTCAACAGTCAAGCAATTCAACGGCAGGGATGCCCCGTTCAACATGAGCAAGATGATCCCTGACGGTTGGAATACTTACAATTGTGTTGCCGACGAGGGAGACTACGCCGAACGCCAGATTGAGCATGAGAAATACTTCAATCGTCCATTGCAGACACTTCCGTTTCCCAAGAATCTTGGCGACTTCAGATCAGAGCCCATCATATGGCTAGGCTACGTCACAGTCGACGACGTACTGGTCAGGCACGCTGAAAATAGCAGCCAAAAAGGATGGAACACAGACTTCACCCCCATTATTTCAGCTTGCGAGCACTGGGAGGTCGATTATACAGTTAATCTGACATACACGCGGGGTTTCCAGTCGTACAACGTTACGCATCGGGATTATCTGCGCAAGGTCATCAATACGACATACGTGGACGACTCAGCTGACGACGGAACGTTGGACAAGACTGTCGCGGAACCGCAAGAGAACTACGTATATCCCAAAGATTGGAGAAACTATCAACGCATTGCAGCGTTTCACTCGCTGGGGCTGAAATTACGACAATTACTGCATGGAGGCTTGTCGCTTCCCGATAACGGAATAGGCAGCGAGATTGTGACATCGAAGTTGGTAGGGCGACATGAGCTTCTGCCTGTCCCTGATTTCGAGAAGCAAATACAAAGGCTGTATGAGAATTTGCTTATTTCGTTGCTGTCGGACGCACAGCTGCTTATGGTGTCATGGGCGGCGAACCCGAATGAACCGTCTGGAACACGGCCTATGGAGAATGGGACTGCGTATCCTTGCATCAGAAGAACTACGGCGGGGTACTTCTTTTATCAGCGACAGATCCTCGTTAGTGTATATGCTGTTTCTTTCGGCATTGTAGGCGTTGGTGTACTGTATGGGATGAAAGCCATGAGGCAAGACGGAGTCGAGGAGTTGAGGGAGGTTACTTTCTCGTCAATTGCAGTCGCAACGAGGAGCGTGAACTTACAATCATGTAAGCGAGATCATAAAATCAGAGCTTGGCTTGTTGAGGACGAGCATGAGGGTCGAGTGTATGAGTTTAGGAATGAGGAAGATACGGAACATAAGAGCAGTACTGGAACCATGGGGGATGTCTAATATTGTGGACTTCGGTAAGCCACAAGCATCGAACTACATTGCTTGAGACCGGGATCTAACAAATGGCGGACGGAAGGACGAACCAGCAGACTGAAGTGAACGTGGCCGTTGATGGCAATGACACATGGTATATATCTATAGCGAGTCTAATTTCTCAATAACTTATTTGCCCGATGCTTAATCTCCTTGCTAAACCTAAAGTTGATCGGACTCTCACTCCCAACAAACACAAAACCATCATACAGCGCACATCCCACCACAGACCCTATCAACGTCGCTGCCCAAGGCCCGTAGAACCACCATCCGCTATGAAACACATTTGACCCACGATATCCAACCGCATACGCAACAACTCTCGGTCCAAAGTCAGAGGCAGGGTTCAGCGCAGATCCAATGTTGTAGCCGAGTGTGAACTTGAGGGTCGTCACCAGGAAGCCGAGTACCAGAGCATGCATGCCAGCGCCGGGTGGGTTGTTCTGATCATCACCTAGTGCAAAGACTGCGATCATCATGATGGCGCTGCCGACGACTTGGTTGAAGAAGGCGGACTGGAGGGAGACCCATTCTCGAGGTGTTGAGAAGAATGTTTTTGACATGCCGTCCATTTCGGGGTCGACGTAGTGGATTGAGTCGGCGTATATTCCATACGCGAGTGCTCCAGCGACGATGCTAGCGATGAATTGGGCAAGGATGTAGATAAAACACTGTCGCCATGGAAAACCACGGAACAATGACAGAGAGATGGAAATGGCTGGGTTCATGTGTGCGCCTGATACACCGCCGCCGAGGTAGATGCCAAACATCCATGCGAAGCCCCATGCCCAACAAGAAGTCTCGTAAGTTCCATAATTCTGTGACTGCTTTGCCGAGAGATTCACGGAAAGAGTACCAGTGAGGCCTAGGAAGATGGCAACAGAAGTAGCAAGGAATTCAGCAAGTGGCTCAGGATGCTTCGCTCGTATCCTAGCCCACCAGTTCCTCATCTCATTCGGATCCGTCTCACCAGCTTCAACCTCTGGCTTTTCTTGCTGGCCCAAAGGTTCGCTGTCAATTTTGTAGTCTGGTTGATTGTTGCTCTGTTGATGAGAAGCAACTCTTGATGCAGGGTCGCGATGTGAAGGTGTTGCTGCGGGCGTTGCTTCACCAGGGACGTAGTCAAATACCGGCTGCCCTGCATCGTTTCGCTTTTCGTTGTGCGCAACTCCATCTGCTGTAGTTCGGCTCTGCTGATTCTGCATGTCGCGCGATGCGATACTGGTTTGGGTGTGCATTCGGTATGGTTGGCCTGAAGTTGTACGCGAGGCGTATCCCGCGGGTGTATCTTCAGAGTCTTCTTTGACAATGGCCATTTCCTCGTCAATCTTTCCATCTGGTCTGATCGGTTTCACCACCTTGCGACGAACACGGTGGGGAAGAGGTTTTCCAAGACTGAATATAGGCTTCTTGCCTGCCTCGCCGAACCAAGGGTTCTCCTCGTAATAGCCCTCTTCGGCAGGGGCATAGGTATGATATTGGGATGCATGTTGTTGTACTGTAGGGCGCGCTGTACTGTGCCCGCTAGACATTCTCGTGAAGCGCCTTGAGCTCATTGGTCGCTTGCTCATTCGCGACATGAAGCTGGATGGTAGTCCATGAAGTCCACGCCGTCTTGAGTGTGTCGACTTTGCATGATCAGGTTGTCCTGTTTCTCGGTCCGAAATGGTGCTGGGGATTCTGCTTGCGACGTTCCCAAGATGAACCTGTCCAGGCGTTGAGGGCGTCGCGGGTTTCGAAAAATAATCATGATTTTGATCTTGGTGCCCAGTCATGGTAAGCGCTCAAACTCAGTAGATTCTTGCTCACTTCCACTGTAAAATCCGGATTCAGAACTTTTATATGATTCAGGTACAAGTGAAGCAACTGTTATAATGATGACGTTTGTCCTCCACTCTAACGTCAACCGGAGGTTTCTCTCCAAGTGTGGACTCTTGAGCCGCACGGTTTCGCCGCTAAAATATCTTTATTGCGGGCCTGTCAACCGCTTAAATTGGGTCGCGATCTCAAGATCGAGGGATGTTGCCCCTTTGAGGGTGTGATATTCCTGAATCTTTCTGTTCTGGGAAGCATGGTTGGCCGAATGAGGTGCTCAATGCTACGTAGTCCTGACTCTTCCTTGGAGGCAAGCATAAACATTCGGATTGTTCCTGTTCAGAATTCCTGAGATAAGTGTATTTGTGGATCATTATATCGCCTTGTTGCGTATTTCTGTTGTATTTTCTCGAATATTCTTGTTTTGTATGCTTGGCTTCCCACCACAAGCTCAAATTATTCTTGGCATCATGTATCATAATAGATAC